ACCTCCCCACCTAATCTTAACAAAACCCTCTAACTAACTACTCCCAGTCTTCATGTGCTCCCAAGAGTCAAGCCCTTTGAAGCACCCAAATACCGCTGGCGCAGAACCGAACAAACAGCTCGGAACTAACACCACGGCAGTGCACTCAACCCAGGAGACACACAAAAATAATAAATTAAAACAAAAAACGCAAAACCTTGCTACAACCTAACTGGGGAGCATAAAGAAACACACAGTCATTAAACCGCAAGAACTTACCCTTTCAGAGCTGACCAAAATACGAACCCACGCTCCAAACCAATCTTTCCGCCTGCTGGTCTCTCCCACCTAATTAATCAAACGAATAAAGTTTAACATTAAACCAAATCAAACAAATTTAAATTGGACGAGCCCCCATATGTTACACCTGGCTCAAAGATGTAACATTAAGGGAGACGACAAGGTCGGAATAACTTAACATAATATTTATTACAACGAAATATAACCAAAATCAACAATCACAAAAGTCAGTTGGCCTGTCAGTAATATCAGTCAGTATGAAATGCAGGTGAATGGATGCACAAGTGAAGTGTGGTCAGCGCTAGTGAATGGATGCAAAACAAAACATAACGCCACAATTGGAGCACGGCTCTGGCAAACTGCTCGAGCAAACAGAAGAGCAGCCGCCCTGACGAACTCTCGCACCAGGTTTAAATACCAGCCATGACGAGCATCAGGTGCGCTCGTCACACTCCAATCATAGAACCTATCACAGAGAAAAAGAGACCAAAACACCCAAACCAACACAACTCAATCCTAACAACACACACACACGTACTTTTAAATATATGTATGTATGTATGTATAATATAATATATTATATATATATATATATATATATCAGTCTACTGTATGTAAAATGTATATAAAGTAGTTTTGAACTTCAGGTGTTGTTGTTTAGTTTTTATGCTGTGATTTTTTTTTCAGTGTTTCATAGTTTTAATTTTCCAGTACATTTATTTTTTCTTTTACATTTAGTATAAGGCTTTGTTTGCAAAATGTTAATAAAATATTGTTAAATATTTTGTTTTCTTTTCTTTAAAAGGAGCTAAATCCATTTTGACAAGAACAGATATAGATTTCAGCACTTTCAAAATCTGACTAATGTGGATTAACTCTTAAAAAAAAGCAATTCTTTTTTATTAAATATTTTAATTAATTCAAAAACCAAAACTTTCCTGATTTCATAATCATCATTTTATTACATATACTGTAGCCTATGTCTGTCGAGCTTACCTATATACACAAGACTGTGATCTTCTGCCAGGAACATAAAGCCAATCTGCTGCTGTCCAGAATCAGGTGGTTTGTCTTCGTCTGGCATCTCAGCTGAGACCTGTCCACTATAGGTGTTCCTACCAGTAGTTGTAAAGTACCAGTGGCGTAGCTCTCAGCATCACTGATGCACATAAGCCCTCACAGCACTTCAAGCTACAAACCGTGTGAGGGACCCTAACCTAGAGGTCTGCGCGGGACTGTTTTTTTAGTCCCGCTCCCGCAAGGTTTTATTCCGTACCCTCCCACTCCCGCTATATATTCACTCTTTGTTCACCCGCTGTCCGCTTAGAATAATTTTCTTCCCGACCCGACCGTTCCCGCTAAATTTAGATCTCGTTCCAGAATCTCACATTTAAATTTCCGATACTGAAAGAGAGATGATAACTGACAAATAAAAGTGTAGTCTGCACAAAATTGTATTTTATTCTTCTTGTCAAGAGTCTTGAATTTATTGACTTTGACTTGAATTTATATGAATTATCTTAAGACACAAAATTCGTTTAATATTTTATGCAACACTGTAGGAAAAAAAGTGTCAGAG